CCACTGTTGGGATTTTACAAGTGAACTTTGTTTTTGTTTGGTTTTGCTGTGGTTGCACTTCGAAACATTTCTAAATAGCAAGGCCACAAGTTGAACCATTTCGAGTCAATGTAACTATTGCTAAAACATGTTGCTTAAAGTGGTAGTAGATAAGCTATCCGAAAATATATGCGGTAATGGTAGTGGTAGCTGTCATAAGTCACATGTAGTTTGATAACTTAATCTATCTAGATCAACGAGCATAATCTAAACAGTCACACGTAGTTTGATAACGTAATTCATCTATGTCAATGAGAATGATCTAAACAGTCACAAATAGATTGATAACGTAATCTATCTGGGTCAACAAGCATAGTCTAAACAGTCACATATATTTGATAACGTAATCTCTCTATATCAACGAGCATGATCTAAACAGTCACGAATAGATTGATAACGTAATCTATCTGGGTCAACAAGCATAGTCTAAACAGTCACACACATTTGTTAATGTAACATACCTAGATCAACAAGTAGAGCTTCAACACACATAGTTTAATAATGTAATTATCTGGGTCAACAAGCATAGTGTAATCACATATACTTTAGTAACGTAATCTACTAAACCAATAAGCATGGTCTGAACTTAAGTTGTTTGATAATGTAATTATCTGGGTCAACAAGCATAGTCTTAACAGTCACACACATTTGTTAATGTAAAATACCTAGATCAACAAGCAGAGCTTCAACACACATAGTTTAATAATGTAATTATCTGGGTCAACAAGCATAGTGTAATCACATATACTTTAGTAACGTAAACTACTAAATCAATAAGCATGGTCTGAACTTAAGTTGTTTAATAATGTAATTATCTGGGTCAACAAGCATAGTGTAATCACATATACTTTAGTAACGTAATCTACTAAACCAATAAGCATGGTCTGAACTTAAGTTGTTTGATAATGTAATCTATATGGATCAACAAAAATGTTATAAGCACACACAGTTCAATAAAGTAATCTATCTGGATTGTGTAGCATGGTCTAAGTTCACATAGGTTGATAATTTAACCCAGCTGGTTTATCAACCATGACACCTACACACACACACAAATATATATATATATATATAGTTTGTAACGTAATATATATATAAAACTGAGTCAACAAACGTGATCTTAAATATACATGGTTTTATATATTTATATATGGTTTTATCACGTAATATATTTGGATCAATAATCAAAGTCTACACATATATAATTTTATCACATAATATACTTGGACCAATAATCATAGCCTACTCATACATGGTTTTATCACGTAATTTACTTGGATCAGTAGTCAGTACCTACTCGTAAATGGTTTTATACATAATCTACGTGGGTAAATAATCATAGTCTATTGATACATTTTTAGCCGCAGCAAAGCAGCTCATAGAATGGCTCCGAGTTTGTTTTATTTTCGAGTACAAACTTTTAGTTCATAGCTCCGCCATCTCTTGACCGATTTGAGACTTAATTACGGTTTTGGACTCAGGAAGTCAAACCCTTTCGATTGATGTATTTGACCACGCCCAAGGTCTCATAGATTAATTTACTATAATCCTGCCTAAAATAATTTCAATCTTAGGATAGGCTAGTAGAGATCCTGATGAGTAATAAAATCGAATCGGATAAACGCGCGCCCCACGCTTGGTATTGCTGGTGCACAAAAATATAGGTAATAAAAAAAAAGGTCTGATATACATCAATTTACTCCAATTCTGCCTACACGAATTTCACAAGTGCCGCGGCTATTGAGGATTCTCTCTTGTTTTTTTTTACGTTATCTACTTAGGTTAATAATCATGTTCCACTCATACAAGCTTTGATAACATAGTTTATGTAAAACATAAAACATGATCCATAGATACATGTTTTGATAAGATAAGTTACCTAGATCATGAAACATGGTCTACAGATACATATTATCTAGATCCTGAAACATGGTTTAGTAACGTAATGTACCTAGACCATTAAGAATGTTCTACAGAAACATTCAAAGTTTGATAACATAATCTGAACTGAAAAACACCATTTACAGTATTCGTATATACAATTAGAAACTTACCGTCTTTCTCGTCGCTCTATAATTGACTGCAAGAACTGTAAGTATATTTTTATTTTGTACGATTTAGCTGAATGAATAACAGAAATACATAAAATCATGCCGGGCGAATGTCGCAAATAAAAATAACTAGGAAGAAAAAATTCATTTTATAACAACTTCTTGCACGGACATGAAATTTGGTCTGAAGAAACAATTCGAAATCTGGTTAAATTATTATTAAAAATAACTCACCTTCTAAATTTACTATTATCAAAGACAGATAACTAATAAATCTACTGAATAATTACCACAAATAATCCAGAGTTTCTTCGTATCAACAATAAAAATAATTTATAACCTGCTTGAATTATTCAGTTGTTGAGGGAAACTGTCACAAAAGAACTTATTATATATACTTTGAGTTGCATAGCATACAGTTTAATACTATTATAGAAATAATAATTGTTTTTCATCATTCTTTTAACAGGGAAAATAATTTCAACATTGTATTTGTTTCTTGGTAATTGGTCATAACTACATTATCAATGTTATGAAAAAACGTATGTTGAAAGTTTTCTTACATATTTTATGGAGTAATGTGAGGAAAAGCTAGAGAAAATATTTTTGCAAATAACTCAAAATAGTCAGTCTCACTACTTTGGCACATTTTCATGGATATGTTTTAGTGATTAGTGCAAAGAAACTATGTAAGGCAATATTTTGGTTAACATATTTTTCACTTCAATCTCTCTAGAAGTTTTCTGTGAAAGCTGAAGTTGGAAAAATAACTTTAGGAGCGAGAGAATGAGAGATAAAACCGTTTGCCAAAATATTTAGCTAAAATAACAGAATCCCCGTCACACCAAACATGCTCGCCCTTTCAGCCGTGGAGGCGTTATAATGTGACGGTCAATCCCACTATTCGTTGGTAAAAGAGTAGCCCAAGAGTTGGCGGTGGGTGGTGATGACTAGCTTCCTTCCGTCTAGTCTTACACTGCTAAATTATGGACGGTTAGCGTAGATAGCTCTCGTGTAGCTTTGCGCGAAATTCCAAAACAAACAAACAAACTAAAATAACATATTGCATATTGGAAATATTTATAACAATGTTGGTGGTGCGTGAGGTGAAAATATTTTCTCACTGTGTCACATCTAGTGATATAAAACTATCTTTTCATTCTGTGATACATTCTAAAATATGCGTATACTTTCAAACTGAAACTTATCTACTAAAATAGCTTTATACTTTCATACTTGCCATATCTACCAAAACAACTTTATACTTTCATACTTGCCATATCTACTAAAACAGCTTTATACTTTCATACTGAAACTTATCTACTAAAACAGCTTTATACTTTCATACTGAAACTTATCTACTAAAATAGCTTTATACTTTCATACTTGCCATATCTACCAAAACAACTTTATACTTTCATACTTGCCATATCTACCGAAACAGATACATATTTTCACCCTGTACCATACATGTCGAAACAGCTGTATGCTGTATCAATTAACCATTTTAACTACTTTCTCTGAATCTAATTTTGCTTTGTCTCGGTTCATTTTAATCGCCACTGACGCAGCCATGTTACTTTCTGTTGTTTCTTAAGCGTTCTGGAGCATGGAACCGATAAATCTTGCAATAAATTACAGTTTTAAAACCCACAAATACAAATCAACCAAACAAAAATAAATTTTATTAATGTAAGATTTGGAACGCTGAGAAAAATTTTAATCTCTCTTCAAGTTTAGTTTCACTGCAAGTTTTTGGAGCAGAGTTAAATGTATAAAATAATTTTTAAGGCCTACAATAAAGTCCCGTAAAGCATCTTATACAGTTATCACCATATTATATTTGTTTCTTATTCACACTGAAAGTGTGAGTAGATAAAAAAAAATGAGATATTGATTTAAAAAGTAAGAAAACGAAATAATAAATATAACATTACAAATTTATTAGTGCAGTGACAGTTAAATCAAAAATACGGATAACAGATAAAGAAATCATTTAACTTCTTACTACGTTTTGGCCTCGAATAAAGCAGATATTATCCAGTTAAAACGAACTCGTATCAGAGTGGATCTTAGAAGCATAAAAATTTTCTTTGATCAATCCACCCCAGAAATGTTTTATTCAATGTTTCAATTTAATTAAACTGGGACCAATGTTAGAGATGTAAAGAATAAGATAATATAAGTAAGACGTTTTTGTCAGTTTTTCAGTTAAAATACTTTTGCTTTCTCTGCCTTTTCAAAAACCTTCATATGTTATAAACTTTATTTTTTTCTGGTTTAAACACCACAATTTTGTCAAATGTTAGTAATTTGAATTCATTGAAACAAAAGGGTAGTATGGAGGAAACACATCTACAACTGTTGTATTTGAAATATGATCAAATATTTTTTTAAAAAGTTCTTTTAATTGGTGTAAAACAAACAAACAAAAACGACATGATGAAATCATTCCAAATTGCGTTTTATATTTGGAATCGTGAAGTCTATGAACACGGTGACTAAAGAAAGCCATACTCTTTTTTTCTCTTCACCTTGGCGTGCCAGCTGAAATGTGTAGCTAATCTAGTCTGGCTCTGCGTACAAGAATAGCATGTAACTTCTACTACAACGTATGTCTGGCAACTCCTGCGCTGCATGCCGCCGTCTCCCTTCAGTCCCTCCCAACTTATCCAAGGCTGTCTAGGGTATTACAAAGGCTATCGAACCCAAGGGCCGTCTAGCTAGGAGCTCTGTTCTTATTTTAAAATCACGCTTAGTCCTTCGAGTCCTATGTTACAGGAGAATAATATACACTTGTGTCTGACATCTTAAAGATTACAATGGAATATTGATAAGAACGAAAACGCGATCTTTTTTGAAATAAGATGATAAGGCACTTATTATAGTATTATAATTATCATGATTTACCTGGATGGTATCGACGACAGCGTCTTCATGGTGACTTCATCGAAGACGACCAACTAACTGTCTTTCATGCCATGTTGGCAGGTGACAGACAACACACATGTGAGTGGCATGCCTCAATATTATATAGAAGCAGCTGGAAGCTTAACGCTGATTGGCAAACACCCCTATAGTGCCGGAAACTCTCAAGCCCCACCAAAAATTGCCATTCTTAAAGCCCTACATGTTTTTTTTTTCAAGCTCTAGTAGTAATAATACTCTGAAACTCCAATACCAACTATAAATTTTATCTACAAAAAGCCTTAGAAATTCGCGAGTTCCTCCTCAACCCCAACGACATGCGAAATAACGTTCAAGGCATAGCATATTAGGTGTAGACTACAATCATGAATTCATGGTCGTCTGCTAGCCTTCAACGTCACTTGTGACGACATCAAAATGGCGCGTTCGAGGGCGTTTTCCAGTCAGACACGGCTCAAGCGAGACAATACCAGTAAATGTCAGGGTCTGACCTCAACCGTATCGCAAAGTCTTTCACTTTCTGCTGCATTATCGAGTAAGCTTGCTCCAAGTTTCTCCCGGATCGAAACTTTTCGCTAAAGTGTATAAAATGTGCGTTTTTTTAAAACAAAAGTTTCTAATGAAACTTTAACAATTATAATTTAAAAACTAACAACAAAAACTGAATACATTTTTGAACACAAAATAGGCATTTTTTCATTAATTTACAAACACCTTGATTAAAGGTTTAATTATTTCTACTTATTAAATAATGGCGCAATAACAAAAGATGGAAATCACAATTTTATTTTAAATTTATTTTCGAAACTTTTTGTATCCAATTGGTATACAGTAATTTTTTGTTACTAACTGTTTTATACAATAAGATTTATAAGACATCAGTAACCAAATTCTCTTCCGCTTCTTAACTCGTTTCAAATTTCAATTCATTGGTTAGATAATTTATCTAATGTTTATTTTACTTTTCAAATAACTGTACTTACTATTGTTACAACAATACGATATAAGTTGTGAATTTATCTAATGTTTATTTTACCTTTCAAATAACTGTACTTACTATTGTTATAACAACACGATATAAGTTGTGAATTTCTCTAATGTTTATTTTACCTTTCAAATAACTGTACTTACTATTGTTACAACAACACGATATAAGTTTTAAATTTCGCTAATGTTTATTTTACCTTTCAAATAACTGTACTTACTATTGTTACAACAACACGATATAAGTTGTGAATTTCTCTAATGTTTATTTTACCTTTCAAATAACTGTACTTACTATTGTTACAACAATACGATATAAGTTTTAAATTTCGCTAATGTTTATTTTACCTTTCAAATAACTGTACTTACTATTGTTACAACAATACGATATGAGTTGTAAATTTCGCTAATGTTTATTTTACCTTTCAAATTACTGTACTTACTATTGTTACAACAATACGATATGAGTTGTAAATTTCGCTAATGTTTATTTTACCTTTCAAATAACTGTACTTACTATTCTTACAACAACACGATATAAGTTGTGAAATACTTAATCTTTTTAGATATTATTTATTAGTAATGTCTTCCGCAGTCAGAAATAGAGGCGGATAAATTATTTAACATCGACAATGATGTATATTGACCTGTCTACAGTGAACAAAAAGAAATCAAATTCTATCACAAATATTCTATTGATCTCAATGATATAACGTTCGATGTTCGTTAGGTAATAAAATTACAATTAATCAGGGTATAAATCGTTTCAGAGACGGGGATGATGTCGGTGCGTACGAAAAATGTCGAACAATCAAAATAACATAGCTACTGTCGAGCTGAATCAAACAGTTCAAACCTCCTACACAGACATGACAAAGAGAAGTATCACCATTCATACAAGATAGTTTTCCTTTGTAAAGGTCAACCAGTACACGCTGGAAACGTGTAGGTGTTCGGTAAAGATAATCAATGGAAGGACTGTTCGAGTTGTACTACAGCTCTAGCAGCCTGGAAAGTTGACTGATTTAGAACAAGCTTTAATTAATAATGTAAGTACTTGTGAATTGGAGGTCTTTCCAGAAATGATGCAGTATAAATATAGTTGATGTCTTCACTGGTTTCTCTTTTTACAAGATATGCTCATTGAAAGACATATTACTTCTAAAGGAGCTGTATACTGCCATACAAAATAAATGCTTTCGCTCATACAGTGAGTTGAAAAAGTATTCACCCTACCAATAATGTCACATTTTGATGAAATAAAATAATGTAAACAATTTGTTTAATGAACTTATTTTTATTCAGAATTCTAATGATCAAACTTAACACTGTTGTGTGTGAAGGAGGTTGAATGTCAGCAAAACCTGCAAAGAAAATACATAAATTGAAATTTGCTGACTGGATAAGTATTCAGACCCCTAATTCAGTACTTGGTGAAAGCACCTTTCGGACATATTACTGCTGTGAATCTTTTTGGATAGATCTCTACCAGCTTTGCACAATGAGATTATGCATTTTTTGCCCATTCTACCTGGCAAAATTGCTTCAATTCTGACAAGTTGGTTGGGAATCGTTGATGAACTGCAATCTTCAAGTCTCACCATAAATTTTCTACTGGATTCGAGTCGGGACTTTGACTGGGTCATTTCAGCACATTTACATTCTTCTTTTGAAACCACTCCAGTGTGCTTTGGCCTTGCACTTTGGGTCATTGTTCTGCTGAAATGTGAACTTTCGACACAGTTCTAGATTCTTGGCTGACTCAAGCAGATTTTCCTCCATGATTCGCCTGTACTTTGCACCATCCATCTTCCCCTTGATCCTGACAAGCTTTCTTGTCTCTTCTGATGAGATGCATCCCCATAACATGATGCTGCCACCATCATGCTTAACAGTTGGGATGGTGTTGACTGGGTGGATGTGCTGTGTTGGGCTTGCGCCAGATGTAACGATTTGAATTTAGACAAAAAAAAACAAATTTTTGTCTCATCTGACCACAAAACCTTCCGGTACATGTCTACAGTATCATTTACATACTTTGTCACAACACCATACGAGATATAAAAGTCATTCGTTTTCACTAATGACTTTTTTCTTGACACTCACCCATACAGGCCAGCTATGTGTAGGAACCAGAATATTGTCGATGTATAAACACTGACTGACTCCCATCTCAAACATGGAACTTTGTAAATCTTTCAAAGTCACTGTTAGCTTCACAGTGGCATCCCTAACCAGTTTCTTGCTTGCCCGGTTTTTTAGTTTGGAAGAAGGGCATAATATGGGTAGTGACTGGATGGTATGAAGCACATTCCACTTCTTAATAATGGACTTCACTCTACTCAAAGGGATAATCAGCCACTTTGAAATTTTATTGTAACCTTCTCCTGATCTGTGCTTCTCTACCACTTTATTCCTGGCTTGTTTGGAAAGCTCTTTGATCTTCATGGTTGGTTTGTCGTATCAATATATGAGTTGTGGCTTAAACAGATGCATTTACTCTGAAATCAAGATAAACCAATTTGATTACACCCAGACAGAGACAATTCCACTAATTTTGTGACCTTTCAAATAAATATTTTGTACCTGAACTGGTTTAGGGTTGCCGTAGCAAAGTGATTGAACGCATATGCAACTGACAATATTCTAATTTTCTTTGAAAATTTAACTTACTTACATAATATCAGCGTTTTTTAGCTTTCTACGTTTGGAGTAGATTGTGTAGATTCTAAATATAAAGTCTCATTTGAAAATTTCATGATCGTGGAAACTTTGCAGGGGTTGAATACTTTTGCAAGGTACTGTACTAACATGAGCAGTGAGCATTTTGTTCAGTTCTTAACAACTCTAAATAGAACTAGATTTTATAAGAACTCATAAAACCTTAAAAATGATGGATGTTGTTTATTTGTTGTACAACCAGTTTTGAACCGTAAAATTAAATCTATCGGTTTTAGTTTAATTAATTTTTTTATGTTATATGATTATTTGTTTAAAGGATATGAAACAAGACACTGACACTGAAAACACCGGAGAGGGTTGGGAATATAGGGCCGTACCTTGCAGTTCAAATAACCTGCCTTAATGGCGGCAGGTGGACATGGTGATGAAAACGTCAAAATTAAAACTGAGGTCGGCACCATAATTCCATCTTGACGAGTGGAGATCCTTCGAACTGCCGAAACTCCTTGATTGGAGAAACCAGCAAGGATCTCCATCTTGAGGATAGATTTCAAATCCCTCTCAATGATAACTCCTCGTGAGGAATTCAAGGAAGCGTGGGGAGTAACCTCAATGGGTATATCCCCAATGGCCTTTGAATTCAAGAGAAGTTCACTGTGTTTAGGATTGGAAGTTTCTACTAAGATATCCCCAGAACGTAGCTTCTTAACTGACTTTGGAGAGCCAGCAAGCCCCTCTAAGCCCTTCTGAATAAAAAAGGGAGACATTTGCCCTAAAGATTTATCTGATAGTGAATGTATGATTAAAAAGCAAGGTACTGGTGTACTGGGTGATGGAGACTGCTGTTCGGAGTCTTCTAGACGTGGTCGTTTACCAATAAGCAGATTTTTAATATTTTTTTTATTTGGAATGGGGGGATCCATAATTAAAGAGAGAGATTCAGTGCCCACTGACCCCACCCGCCATGGAGTCCTACGAGGGGACGCACTACAATGTCAAACAAGGACACTGCAGCAAACACTATACCCAAACACCAGTATCAGACACTATGTCCACAACACCTGTTGAGAACGCCCAACACTGGTACTCATTTGACCCTAGCCCCAGTGGACCAGCCGATTGACCCTAGGGGGACACCCCAAGGCCACCCGTCTACAGGAATTCAAGGCCAA